TTTACTGCTGTTTACACTTAGCTAGATTAATGCGATGGTGTTGTGTTTAGTATGTTGCTTTGTTGTTTTTTTTTGCTTGTTTTCTCTTCTTCTTCTCTCAACAGGTGATCCAGGAGATTTTTTTTCCTTTCTCACTGTCCCTCTCCCCTTCTGTTTTTCTTTTCCTTCCTCTTTCTTTCTCCCTTTCCTATCCCTCACTCATGTCTGTCCCATCTGTAACATCTGAAAATAAAATATAATAAATAATAAAAACAAAGGTCGATCAAATGGACCAATACGGCGATGCCACAACGATCCATTTGGCAAAATAAATCCATTGGGTCTCCTTGTTGGTCTTCAGACAACAATTCTGACGGCTAAAGAACCAAATGTATGGAAGCCCGTTTCCGCCACTAAATAAAAACAAAACAGCTAGTATCCATAACTCGAAATTTCGAGTTATTTTCTCAAAATTTCGACTTAATAACTCAAAATTTCGAGTTACTTTTCTCAGTTAGCTCTGCCAATCAAAAATATACTTGAATGAGGTCGCTTTCTTGTTACCTAGAAGCATATGGTGCAGAGGAACGCGCACTCAAAAACGGATCCCAACAAATTGGCACTTTCGCGAGTACGTTTGCTGATAGTAACACCGTGTGATTCAGCTAATAACACAGGGATTTTATCATTTGTGAAGCCAGGCTGAAAACACTCAGCAATCTGTGCATTCACGACTGGATGTAATACCGGTAGCTTAGCTGTAGCATTTGTAGCTGAGGCTTCAGCTTCCGGGTAACGAGGAAATGACGTCATTCACGTAGATTACTGATTGGCAGCACTAACTCGAAATTTTGAGTTACTTTTCTCAAAATTTTGAGTTAATAAATGTTATGTTATGGATCCTTTTTTTTTTAGTGGCGGAAACGGGCTTCCATACAAATGGGACAGGCCAAAAGAAAAAAGAAAAAGGAAAAAAGAAAGACTGAACCCTTTGGCTACTAAATTTGGGTTATTGATGTCTGGATTAAGAAAACTGGGTTAATTGGTTGTAAGTGGGTCATTGTCGGGAAATGCTAAATGTTAAAGTGGGAAAAGCAAAATGAAAATAAAAAGAAAACGGGGTTTCAAATGGGAAGTTCATAATAATTAAAAGTTTTTGTCTGGGTGATGTGGAAGAAAGCTCGAGGAGTTGATGAGATTTAACATGATAACTAAAATTATTTCATTTCTTAACACAGGTTTGCAAGCCCGGAGCAAGTTAACTCGAGAGGAGAATTGCTGAGGTTTTCTGAGAAATAATATGACTAACCTTTTTCTTTTAATTTCCTAGATGTGGTGAAGCAATTTCATTCTCTTTGACACATAAAATGTGTCAAAGGGGAAATTTTAGGTTTAATTTGAAAGAATGGATTGCATGATCAGGGTATGACTTTTTAGTGTGCTTGATAACTTAGCTACGGTAAAACTTACGCATAAATCATTGTTTTCATGTTTAAGCTTAAATGATTAAAAATAAAATGAATCCCATTTAGAAGATAAAATGCATGTGTTCATGAGAAGCTGAGTACCACACTGAATGGGAAACTGTGGGACAGCAAGCTGAATGAAACATGCTTTTGTGAAAGAAGGGAAGATGCTTAAGATTGAAAATGTTTGATTTCTTTTTGATTTCTTCTACTAAAATAAGCGGTTATAATTATTTTCATACACACATGACAATAATGAAGGACTTAGAGTGCAGAGCGGTAAATGCAAACACGCTTACACACATTATAATAATTAGACTAATCCTGTAGATCAGAGAGTCCCAAACATGATATTCTGAGCCAACTTTAAATAGCTAAAAGAACAAGGAATGAATAAATTAGCTTATTGAGGCTTCGCAGAGCAGTGTTTGCCTTTTCTGTCCTTTACAGAAGGAGCAGATTCCAGAACCACAGCAAAAGCACAAATGGGTTGGCGAGAATCCAGGAAGCACCAGACCGAACGGATCTGGCTAACAAAGGGGGACACAGTGATCTAAAAGAAGCATAGATCCCAGAGAATCACCCGTCCCAGAAGATTAGCTGTTTAAATTGTAAAGAAGGTCGAAAGCTCGTTAGACAGAGGTTATGGTGTGAGCACAAAAGTAATGAAAAGTTATGGGAGGATTAGCTTTAGTAATAGTTTGCATGATTTTTATGTTATGTCAATTGCCCAAACACAGTGCTAATGCCTGATATAGTCTAGCCGTTAAAGGGGGAGTTAAGAGAACTGAAAGTTGTGTGCTGAGAAACTAGGAGTGCTTTGTAAAGAGGAAACGGGTTAACTCTATAGAGACTGTTCCCATAGATTTACAAAAGTAATCTAGGACCTTTTACTAGGAAAAAGCTAATTATATCTGTTTGGATTTTACAGTGAGCAGTGAGGGAAGTCAGAAGCGGGTTTAAACTATGATGCGGGGTGAAAATGGGGACAGCTCACAGCCAGGCGTAGACACGAGGTGCTGTCTTTGTCATGGTCTGGGTGGGCACCTGCAGGTCTCCGACAGCGGCCCCTCCTCCTTTGGGCGGAGTTCGGTTGCTCCTCCCTGGCTGACCACCTGTGAGCAATCATGCCAGCAGTATATCAGACCTGCGCTCTCAACCATTCATCGCCTGAGTATCTGCTATCCCCATAGGTAGCACCTGGAGTGGAGATCTTGTCTCCCTCACTCCCGCCTTCCTGGACCTGGGCCGCCTGCTGCTAACACGACGTGGCCTGCCGGCCCACCACTCACTTGCCTGCCTCCCCATGCCTCGACCACTTCCGGGCTTCCGCCCCACCTGTCCCCTCCACCTGAAACCAAGTAAGGCAACTCAATTCAACTGTGGAGGATCGTTGATTGTCTGCTGGATCCCACTGACCGTGATCTCCTCTTATTCCAGTGCCCCGGCCCCTGCCTAGTCCTGTTTCTACCTCCCTGCTGCCTCTGCTGTTCAGCCGTCTCCTAGAGGTGTCTAGGTCGCCCTCATTATCGTAGATAATCCTACGCGCCACGAGTGTGGTGGCGCTGCTTTGCTTTTGCTTTTGTTTGCCTGTGGGCGTAAATAAATCATTTGTTCCCTACCGTCTCGCTTCCGGGTTGGTTTCTGCACCTGTGTCCATCTTTGTTCCCTCGTGCCGCTGGGCCTTGACAGTCTTAGTGCTTGACTTATTTGTTTGATTTTTTGTTGTGGATAGAAGTAATTATGCCACAATATTACATGAACATTGAAGAACACAATTGGAAGAATGCATGACATTTATGTTGGGGTAATGGAAAGGGTTTATTTTGTCTATTATGGTTTCTCACGCTACATTTTAGCAATTATTGTAAGTTGTTGTTGCTGTGTGCCGTGTATTAGGGTGTTGGCAGTGCGTCTCATCAACAAGGCAGCGGACCCAGGGTCAGAAGGCCAGGGGCCATGATCCCACTGAGGCAAAATGAGGAGGAAGATACCCTGGACAGGTTAATGAGGGAGTCAGTTAATTAGGTTAACTCATAAACTTATATGAGTTAAGTCTCTCTGTACTCAGAGACCAGTTTATACCATCAAAAATCAGTTTTCTGTATTATTTGCTTGCTTATTATGCACCAGTCTACCGGTGTATAAAAATGACCTCCGACAAGAAAGCCTAATTTCCGCTGTTCAATACTGAAGAAGTTTCAGCTTTTACAAATTCTGCCAAAATGCAAAATGCTTATCTCTGTCTCTAAAAATAAGTTTGTAACTCTGCTTTACTTTAGCAGCATCAGGTAATGTTTATCTGTTGATTCATGGTTTTCTTCTGTTTTTGCTCTACTGCAGAATATTTTTAAGGTGGTTATCTGCTATAAAAGAACAGGACAGGAAAATCTCCTTCATGTTTTATCCTCAGTTAATTTGACACAAAGGCATCTGCTGTTATGCTTTCACCTCTGATGAAGTCTCACAAGTGTCAGCTTTGTTTTCATAGATAGATATAAAAATATGGATTTGTACTGATAAATTAAGATAATTATAATCTTTCTGACTGTCTGAGTCAAAACGGGATCAAATCGAATCAAATCACCAGCTTGGGGCCTTGATAACCCTCTTGTCATGTTTACGCTGTGTGGCATAAAAACACAGTAGTCCAAATCCAAGAAGTTCAGGGGACTGACCTGGAGGTCAGCAGCACTGGTGTTCAACACACAGTTCAGGAGGCAAACCAAGGAGCCAACGGCAGTTCTGGGGACTGACCTCATGAAAAGCGGCAGCGGCAACACAATTCAGGAGGCCGCTCATGGAAGCGAAGATCCTTGGTCAACAGATCTAGAGGGCAATGGTGGTGATGAAGGCTTTGGAACCAGAAGAGGGAGATGAAGGAATCAAAGGGCTTTGGTAGGCTTGGATGGTAACTGTCGTCGGTGTGGCTTGGTGGATGGATGTAGACGTGCAGGTTGCGCTGGAAGTGGATGTGACTGAACGCTCTTGGGTGACTTGGCAGATGGCCGGTGTGGAGTACCAGACAAGGCAGGACAAGATGAGGCAGGCCAGATGCCGTGTAGCAGTTGCAGGTAGTTGCGGGATGGACTCTCCAGAGCGTCTGACAGGAACAGGTGGCTGAGCCTCCAGCAGGAACAGACGGTTGTGTGGGAGCTCTCCCGAGTCTCCAGCAGAGACAGACAGCCTGGAGTGACCCTGACCTCAGTTCTGACAACATCCAAAATGGAATTATCATCTTCCACAATGCAGGGATACTTACATCTTTATATCTTTATTCTTTTTCTGGCAGTCTGTTGCAGATTTTCTGCGGTGCTTGGGATCACTACTGTGTTTGGGACCCAGTTTGATCCAAGCTTGGGCTGTGGTAAAGATCGCCTCACATTTGACTCTAGAAATGTTTGGTATACAGAAAAGTTCATGATGAACTCGCCGATCACAAGGTGCCCAGGTCCTGTTGTTAGGAGGTGCTGGGTAGGTGTATTGTTGTTTTTGGGTTTTGTTTCCCTTTTTGGCATAGGTAGGCGAGGCGGGGCTTGATGGCATTCCGGCACACCTGCGGCGCATCGGACGTCATCAGTGAGCGCTTTTATGGAGCTGAGTCACAGATGTCTAGTGTCGGAGTATTGTCGCTGTCACAAGTGGTAACGTGTTGGTGCAAGCTGAATCTGTTGATCCCACGCTATTGAGCTGTATGTTTTTTAGGATCCATCTTCTGCCTGCTTCTCCTTTGTTCAAGCCTGTCCCGCTGCCTGCTCGCCTGCCTAGTTTTCTTTGTGTTGGCTTCTTTGGATCCGTGACGGAGTTACTTCATACCAGTCTGTTACCACCGCTACAGCTGTAGTTCTGTGTTTCAAGTAAGCTCTCCAACTCTCCCCGTCCACTTTAGTTTAACTCTCGGCTATTGACGTTACTCGGTAAACTTTGTTTGTCCCTCGTTTTCAGGTAGCTCCGGTGCGTCATCTGCCCACCCGCATACCTCGGCTCCGTCTCATCTCTTCAGCTCTGCTCTCCTTGCACATTTTTACATGTCACTGTATATAGCCCCTTCCCTTGTAAATATTTCCCCATCATTGTATATAAATCTGCATCACTACTATCTTGTGCCCGTATGTGTTTCTGCCACTAAATCCATCCGTGTAAGTTCTAACACCTGTGGCTGCAAAGCAAGTGCAAACGATTGATCATCCCTCCACTACCATGCTGACAGTTGGTTTGAGGCATTTGTGCTGATATGTAGAATTTGGTTTTACTTAAACAAGGCAAATAAATCCAATTCGCTATGTGTACTAAATAAAAAAAATATTTATACTATGTGAAAAAGTATTCACAGTGAATTGTAAAGAAACGACTTTCCCCCCCTAGATAATCTTATACACTTACACTGTATTCCCAGTAAAAATATATGTGAAATACAAGGAAGGAAAAAAGCTGCAACTACAGGATGGGCCATTTATATGGATACACCGTAATAACATGGGAATGGTTGGTGATATTAGTCACGTTGAAACCAAGCACACCATTGTTTTTCTTGTGACATTACCAATAAGTTTGATGTGTCACATGGCCCTCTTCCCATTTAAAAATCAAAAGTTGTATCCAAGATGGCCGACTTCTAAATGGCCACCATGGTCACCACCCATCTTGAGGAGTTTGCCCCCTCACATATACTAATGTGCCACAAACAGGACTTTAATATCACCAACCATTCCCATGTTATTACGGTGTATCCATATAAATGGCCCACCCTTTACTGTTGTGTTTGGTAAGAAAACATACTATCACCAGGCTCAAAACTCTATTATAAATTGCATTGAAAATGTGGACTGTCATGGCTTTAATTGAAGAAGCAGATTTTTGTATGTCAGCCACTCATATAACAGCAGCCTTCATTATTAACAAACAGTGTTAAAAGGCTATCATTGAAAATGATAAAGACAACAGGAAACATGTAAAATCAGGTGGGGGCTGTAGCTTAGGTCAAATTTTTACAAGTCATCTTATTCTCATCTGTACTTTTAATATCAGTAATGTATTGTAATAACACCATGTCAGTGACACTGGGTTTTTGTTACACACTTTAATACTCTATAGGTCTAGGTTTGCTCAATGTTATTTTCTTTTTTTTCCAATAAATTAACTAAATATTTGACAAAAATCATGTTGAAAAAAAAGGAACCACAAGGGTTTGCCTTTGAAAATAGTGTTGCATTTCTACAGTGCTGGTAATAAATTATTCTTAATTATCTTGTGTCATCCTGCACGATTAATAATGCATGTGCAAATAAAACTTATTTTAATGGCCCAGTTTTCTTCTGTAGTAATTTTGCAAATAATTTTTGCATCTCTTTGGACTGTACACCATAAATAATGGGGTTGAGGCTTCCAGGGATGATGTGAAACAAAATGGAACAAAGTTTTCTGTAATCTGAGTACTGTGGAAAGCGATGCAACATAATGACAATCATTCCACTCAACAGCATAATCAAGTAAACAACCAGGTGGGTGCTGCAGGTCTTCAATGCTTTACTGTTCAAAGACTTGTTCTTACTGGTTAGACAGACAATTGTTATACTAGCATATGTGAGAACAATGCTGCCTATAGAACCTGTAAACAGGACCACAGTGAAGGTGAGCCCATAGACATTATTAATGAACACATTTTCACAGGAAAGCTTAAAAAGAGAGGCATTGTCACAGTAAGGGTTTGTAATCAAAGTCCTGCATCGACTCAGTCGTACAGTCAGTCCAAGCAGAATCCCGACCAAAACGAAGGCCACTCCCCAGGCAAAAACCGTCAGCTTGATCACCATTTTGTTGGTCATTATGGAAGCATATCGCAGAGGATTACAAATGGCCACATATCTGTCAAAGGCCATAATCATGAGCACAGTGTGACTCGTGGTACCAAACATATGTGTGGTAAAAGCTTGCACCACACATTCATAATAACTGATAAAGCGTTCAGATGGAGGCTTCAATATGTCTATCAACAATCGAGGTACCATGATAGAGTTTCCAAGAATATCATTAAAAGGCAGGTTGCAAAAAAGCAGATACATAGGCTGGTGAAGGTTCTTGTCCATGAAAACTAAAACAGCAATCCCTCCATTTGCTACTATTATAAACAGGTAGAAGAACAGCAGGAGAAGAAACAAAGCATATGTGGACTCCACTGAAATATTCAACCCTTCCAGCTGGAGTGTGAGGATGTTGTAGGTGTAGTTCTCCATCATCATGAAAGAACAAAATGGTAAGTAAGCCAATCAAGTTTGTGGTAGGAAAAATGTGTTTTGATTTCAGTTTTAAATGAGAGGTATCTACTCTCAGTCTTTTGTCTATTGTCTGCGCTTTCTTGTTCCTGGTAGTTCACAACTGGCAATGCCTACACAGAATGCGCTCTGCTGCAGTGTTATATGGGCATTATCTCAACCATGCAAACACTTAGCTTAAGCAATGTATGATGTCATACAATGAAGACAACAACAACTGTCAACAATCTGGGGAATAAAATTTGTGGGCAATGAAATAATGTTTGTCTGCTCAAGCTTCACTTCCCACTGGTAGCGCTTAGGCTACGTTCACACTGCAGGCGAAAGCGCATCAAATCCATTTTTTTTTACCCTCTGTGACCCATATCCCATCATGGTGTGACAGCGTGAACGGCACAAATCCGATATTTTCAAATCTGACCTGGGCCACTTTCGTATGTGGTGCTGAATCGATACATCTGTTTTAGAAAGCGACTGCTGTTTGATGGTCACGTCGCATTAAATCCGTCTTTTACGTCACTGACACAAGACAGACGCCAATTATCAGCGCCGGAGAAGACATCGCGAACGCTTCCTGTCCATCCAGTGTAGATGTCAGTGAAACTGATGGGAAGACAACGTTGGAGAAACGTGAACATTTTATTTGTTCTGTATAATCTGCAGATTCTGACATATGATATGTAATATGTCACTTCAAACTGTTTAAATAACCCTGAAAATTGTCTTTAATATAATGGCAAAACCTTCTTTAACTTAACATTTGATACAAATTTTTTTTATCTCTTTGGATTGCATACCATAAATGATGGGATTGAGGCTTCCAGGGATGATGTGATACAGGACAGCAACAATTTTTCTGCTCCCTTAGTACTCAGGAAAGCGATGCAGAGTGATTATGGACATACCACTGAACAAAAAAATCAGATATACAACCAGGTGAGTGCTGCAGGTCTTCAAGGCTTTATTGTTCAAGGACTTGTTCTTAGTGGTTAGACACACCACAGTAATCTTAGTATAGGTAAGAACCATGCTACCGATAGAACCTGTGAACAAAAGCACAGTGAAAGTGAGGCCATAGACATTGTTAATGAACACATCCTCACAGGACAGGTTAAACAGTGCAGCATTGTCACAATAGGGGCTTTTGATCAGAGTTCTGCATCGGCCCGGTCTCAAGGTCAGACCGAGCAGAATCCCAACCAAAACAAAGGCCACCCCCCAGGCAGAAACTGTCAGCTTCATCAACATCTTATTTGTCATTACTGCAGCATAACACAGAGGATTACAGATGGCTACATATCTGTCAAAGGCCATTATCATAAGCACTGTGTGAGCTGTGGTACTAAACATATGTGTGGTGAAAGCTTGGACCACAAATTCATAATAACTGATGAGGCGCTCAGACGGAGGCCTCAACATGTCTACAAGCAAACGAGGGATCATGATAGAGTTTCCAAATAAATCATTAATGGACAGATTACAAAAAAGGATATACATGGGCTGGTGAAGACTCTTGTCAACAAAAACCAAAACAGCAATGCCCACATTTGCAACAATTAGAAACAAGTAGGAGAAAAAAGAAAAAGAAACATAGCATATGTGGCTTCCTGTGGGACATTTAAACCCTCCAGCTGTATTGTGAAGATGTTGTTTGTATTTTGCATGGACCTGAAAGAACAAGACAATTTCAAAGGCATTTCAAAAGCAATTCAGTCACTATCTAAAACATTAAATAAAGCTTTCACGCATGACATTCCCACATCTGTAAACAAGAGCTTATATCACAAAAAAAGACAGAGATCAGATACTTGTTAGTCCTGACAATCCTCAACTCCTGAAGTTGAAGTGTTGGACTGTTGTACATATAGTTCTCCATCTTGTCTGAAGTAAAAGCAGAAGGAGGGAAAAAGATTAACTAAAATTGAAATGTAATAAATTAAACATCAAATATTAGCAGTGAGGCAAACTTTTTTCAAAAGTCACACATTGTAAAATATTAATCTAGTATCCACCAGCAAAAGGAGGACAAACACTATGATAAATATTTGTTCAAGGGAGAAAAATAAACTGGTGCACTGCCTCTACCTTCCCTGCCTAAGAGGCACTATAGAAAGCGAAGCAAACTGTTAGGATGCCTGGGTCGTTGACCCAGGATTTTTGAGTTTATTATATTATTTGATTTATTAATCCTTTATTTATCCAGGTAAAAAAAAAATCTCATTGAGATTAAAAATCTTATTTCCAAGAGAGACCTGGCATCATGGCAACAAAAGTCACATACCACATAGGTATATAACATTTAAAACAAATACAGTATCCCATACAAACATGAGTAAAATATACAATAACAGATCAAATTAAGAGTACATTAAAAACAATCACACTGAGTAAAAGAGCTGTTCTCTCGTTCCTTTAAGACAGACTTAAACTCTCCCAAGGTAACCAATTCTGATAATTTCAGTTCCTTCTGCAGATTAGGGTTAGGGGTTAGTCTCTCAGTACACGACCAGGAATGTTGTCAGGACCCGGAGCTTTACGTGCATTGATCCTGCTGAGGGATCTCCTCACGCTGTCCGGGGACAGAGTCATCACCTGGTCACCAGGAGGGGGTGGGGTCTTCTGTGCAGTGGTGCTGTTTTGGACTTCAAAGCGAG